CCCCCCCCCCCCCCCCCGCCTGATCTGTCTTACAAAGTTGTTGGGAGTAAAATAAATAAGGAAGAGCAGAAGCATTTGTCCACCTTGAGCTCATGGAAAGAACAATGGGATTCAAACATGATAGATGAATAAATAAATAAGATCAACACAACTACGTAGTGTCATAGGCAATGCAAAAAGTGCATAGGTTGTACCCTAGTTAGGGATTCCTCATCTTCAGAAGAGGAAGGGGAGCAGGAAAGTTTTCAGGAATTAGAGGGGGAATTGGAATCAGAGGATGAGGTCTTGCAAGTGCCCACGTTTCTGGAAAGGCGAAAGGAAACAGAGCAGACAGCGTTCAGCTAGAATAGCTGCTAGAAACGCCGAGGTAATTGGGAGCCATCCTAGCACCTCCTGCGTGGGGAATTCAGAACTATAAATCAGAAGTAGGAGCAGTTAGCTTTCACTAGTAACAAACGACTCTGATGGTTATACCTTCGTTCCAATTGTACCTGCTTCGAGTCTGCTCCTAAGTTCATTGCCTGTTGTATGATGTAAGACTGCTGTTTATTTTGGACTATCAGAGACTTGAGTATTGTGTCTGCATTAAGACTGCCTTACTTTCTTTTGCGTTTTTCATCTGTGTGTGCTATTCTCTTGTGTTTGCTGAAGTAAAGCATTTTTCATTTACTTTCAGCATGCTATTAAGCCTGTTCTTGAAGGGCAAATCAGGACAACCCTGTTCATGAATTATAATGTTGTACTTTTACAGTCATCAAACAAGCTGGAATTCTCAGCACAAGCCTGTGATTGCATGTCTAGTAACACAGAAAGAACTGGATGCAACCTCACTTCCTAGCAATACAGAAATGGCTGTATGTGAGGCGGGCTGTGCTGCTGAAAGGGTAGGTTTTGGAAACAGCAGGATCTCAGCCTATATCTTCCAGCATTGATCCATATAAATCTTTCCGCTAAAGGAATGAGTGACAATTCAACCACTGATAAGCTGAAATGGGAGTCAATCCAAAACTGGCACCATCTTCTTCCATCATGCAGTCTAAGAAGGGTTTCACATGGAGTCCTCTCCCTCAATAAACTTGCTATTGGGTAAACCGAGTATAGTACCCCATATTAAAAATGGCTGTGGTCACTTAAATATTCTTCTCATGATAATGCTAAGTTATTTTACGTAGCTGTGGCAAGTCCTGCACTCATAGAAAATGTCAGAGCTGGTGAAGCTATGGCCAAATGTTGACTCTTGATACTTGGTCAAGCTATGATAGTGCAAGCTATGGCCAAACTAAAATGGAAACAAAATATGGTCACTTTATCACAAACATGTGTTTGGGAGAGACAAACAAACAAACATAGGAGAAAATAGTCAAGATAACTTCGGGATCGGTGCAATGTTTATTTATTTATTTATTTATTTACTCCATTTGTATACCGCATTTATCAGCCTGGGACGGCGACTCAATGCGGTTTACAGTAAAATGTGCAACACTGACAATATATAAGACAGACATACACAAACAACACACATGTAGTCATCAACGCCTCGAATAGAATCAGATCCCGTTCTCACAGTCGTTTTACCGTTCCTTGTTCAGTATGCCGTCTTCCTGAGTTAGTTGTAATTGCATAATTATCTGAACGCCTGTTCATAGAGCCACGTCTTAACCCTCCTCCGAAACGCCAGCAACGAAGGGGCCTGCCTGATGTCCGCTGGTAGGGCATTCCATAGCCGAGGGGCCACCACCGAGAAGGCCCTGTCTCTCGTCCCCGCCAACCGCACTTGTGATGCTGGCGGGACCGAGAGCAGGGCCTCCCCGGACGATCTTAACGTTAATGTTGAATGTTTTATGTTTGTCTATGTCCAATGTTTTATAGTTTATTGTTTTTAATCTATTTTTATATGTTATTTTAGTTATGTAATGCATTTTATATGTTGAGAGGCACTGAATTTTGCCATTTACTTTGTTGTGAACCGCTCTAAGTCCCCCCCAGGGGTTGAGAAAAGTGGTATATAAATGAAATAAATAAGGTAGGTTTTCTAGTTTATACTCAAGCTATAGTTACAATGTTGTGTCTAAACAGGGTCAAAATGTTTTCCTTGCATCCTTTTTTGTTATTTTTGAAAAACTGGCAGGTAAATATAAGTATTTTGAAAAGACAGGGAAGCAGCTGTACCACCTAAACCCCTACTTCCTATTCCAATCAATGAAGAATAATTTACAATCCAAACTTACATTCACAGAATGATGGCAGTTTTCACTTAAGGTGGCTTTACACTAACACTGTGAAAGTTCACAGGTCTGTTTCATTTCTGATGTGTTAAATGCTCTGGCTAAAATGTAATGCAAACCAAGTGTTCCAACAAGAAAGCATCCTGTGATAGCACTGGAGTCAGGCTGAAGAATCACTAAGCCAATTCTATTTTTAGTATTGCAGGAGGGACACAGCCAAAAACTGGTTCTGCAAACTTGGGGCACTAGGCAAGTAGGTAAACTGCCCTCCAAAGTACTTAGTGGCAACCTGGTAATTTTCTGTACTTCAACCATTCTTAAATCCCAACTTCCAGACATCAGTGACAAAGGTAGTCTTGATGCAGTCTAGCAATACTTGATTCCTGCTCCCCAAGAGTTTATCAGAAGAATAGATAGCTTCCCTGTAATCTGACAATCCACAGGACTTTCCATACTATACAGTTATAGTGAAATGATTCTACTTTAAGTTCCATGACAACATCTTATGGAATCTTAGGGTCTGTAGTTTAGGTAAAAGTAAATGTTTCCCCCTGACATTAAGTCCAGTCGCATCTGACTCTGGGGGTTGGTGCTCATCTCAATTTCCAAGCTGAAGAGCCAGTGCTGCCCACAGACATCTCCAAAGTCATGTGGCTTCATGACTGCATGGAGTGGCATTGCCTTTCTGCCAGAGCAGTTCGTATTGATTTACTCACACTTGTGTGTTTTCAAATGGCAAGGTTGGCAGACAGCGGAAGCTCACCCCGCTCCCCGGATTCGAATCTGAGACCTTTCAGTTAGCAAGTTCAGCAGCTTAGCGGTTTAGCCCACTGCGCCACTGGAGTTTAGAATTCTTAGCCAGAGAGCTCTAGTGCCTCTCCAAACTACAAAGACCATGGGGTGTTGCAATGGCACTTGAAGTCAAAATATATTGGTTTCACTGTGTAATGTGAAAGGATGCCAGGAGCTCTATATCTAGAAGCCCTATATTTATAGCAGTGGGTTCAGGCAAAAATTAAACATTTCATCAAGGTTGGCCCAAACTTGATGTATCTGTTCATATGTATGATTTATATATTTGTCAGAGCAAGGCAACTGCTTCAGTACATGCTAGGAGGTGGTAAGCAGGTTTTGGAGGAGATCACTTTATACTGTGTGTCTTGCCCTGTATCCTCTGATCTTGTCTACTACCTTCAAGTTTGATTAACAATCTACTCCCACCACCAATTGTTTTCAGAAAAATATAACAATCAATCTAGTCCATTTTTCTACATGAAATATGAGAAGGTTCATTTTGTTTGTTGCATAAAGGCTGTAAAGTATTATTATTATTATTATTATTATTATTATTATTATTAGTAGTAGTAGTAGTAGTAGTAGTAATTTATTGCATTTCATTTATATACCGCTTTTCTCACCCCAGAGGGGGACTCAACATAAATGGTAAAATTAAATGCCTCGCATACAATACAGAATACATCACATAATTAAAACACCATATAACAATAGATTAAAACCAGGAAACTATAAAAACATCGGACACAGACCAAACATAAAACATAGAACATTACCTTATCTTGACTACTTCAGCTCACTTGCTTGCTTGAAAAGCCACATTTTAAGTTGTTTCCTAAACACAAGGAGGGAGGGGGCGATCAAATCTCACTGGGGAAAGAGTTCCACAGCCAAGGGGCCACCACCAAGAAGGCCCCATCTCTCGTCCCCACCAGTCATGCCAGGACTTCCTCGGCTAATCTTAATGCTTTAACTGGCTCATAAAGGGAGATGTGTTTGGATAGGTAAGCTGGACCGCTTTTTTCCTTCAACAAAGGAGACTCAAATTGACTTACATTAAAAGCATTTCAAAACACTTTAAAATCCAAATATATACAAACATGAAAATAGAATTAATCATCAATGGTATTAATTAAAAATTATCAGTTAAAATTCATAAAACTGATTAAAATATATTGAAAGCTCTTCGTGTATTATATATAGTAGGTTGTAATAAAAAAAAACCATTTTGTTAGTTCTTTGGGTACCATAAGCAATGTTTTATGTGCAACTGAGCTGAGAGCTGTACACAAAGTATTTCCCTACAATTGCCCATCTTGGTTTAATAGCTGATGCTTCCTAACACACAAGTAATCCCACAGAATAATATTAAAATATATACAATCGTAAAAAAAAAAAAAAGACTTACTGTGAGGAGATGAACAAGATCCTTGTTAGCCTCCAATGGGGCCCCCAAATCTTGCAACTGTATCAGTTCATTGACATGGTTGTACAAGGAATATAATTTATGGATGTTAATTTTGTTGTCTTCCAAGTAATCCGGCATGGCCTCATAAAGGGAAATCAAGTCTTTCAGATGTACTCCAAGGATAGGGATCTTAAAGTTAATGCAGTCATTGTAAGCACGACGATAATTATCATAGTTCCTACAAGACGACAGCAGTTCTGTCATTTCATTGAACACCTAAAGGGAAAGTTAAAAAAGCAGCATTGTTTTCTTAATTGGCAAGGTCACTTTAAAACCACAGAACAAAACAATCCATCCAGTATGCACGCTAATAAATGAAATGCTAACATGGTGCCTGCACTTGCCATTAGTAAGAAACCATGGTTTAGTGAAATCACAGCATTAGGAGAATTAGTCTCTCTAAGTTTTGGACTTAGGACAGTCATCCACCACAAAGAAGAAATCATAAAGTTCAATTTCCATTTCTGATTAACCACAAAGTTGTACTACTTCAATTAATGAGTTAACATTAACTGCAGATTGTTTAACTACAAAAGGAAGTGAAAACTTCCAAACTCCGCAGAAGTAATTAGGGAAGTTATGATTTAGCATTTTCTCCAAATGAGGCCACTAACTTGACTGTTTTGCAGACTTACAGAAGAGACCTCTAGAAAATCTTTTCTTTTTAAAATAAGTTTTTGTTAAAGAGGCAACGCCTAAGGATCTCTTTGAACTCATCGAATCAAGTATTACTTAAAGACTGATAACACAAGTAGTAAAGAAGTTGATGTCCTGATTCTGCCATTGTGACAGCAATATTCTCGACTAACAAATCTGATTTCATGATTGCAATATGGTTTAAGGATTATTGACAATTCAATTTCAAGCATTCAAAACACATGAAAATTGTACAACAAGCAAACAGCATGCAAGGAAGAATCCAGCTAACCTTATGAACATCGTGAGGAACATGAGAACTTGTTTCTTTGAGCCTAGAGATGGAACTGTGGCAAAGACCACCTATTACAGCCATTAATGTGTTGAAGTTCTGCAGCTGATGAAGTTTCTGTGTCAAAAATGGGCAAAAGTCATTACTCAGTCCCTGATTCACAGAATACACTTCTGGAAGAGTATCATTAAATAGGAACATAATCTCAAACAAGTACTGCAGTTTTCATTCAACATAACCTTTTACAATATATATCTATATATAAAAATGCTCTGTTTGTAATGAGTGACATCATAACTCAAAATCTGCTGGATGAATTGCTGCCAAATTTGGCCACAAGACACCTACTAACCCAAGGAGTGACCATCACTTAAAAAAATGATTTTATCATTTGGGAGTTGTAGTTGCTGGGATTTATAGTTCACCTGCAATCAAAGAGCATTCTGTATCCCAACGATAGAATTGGGCCAAACTTCCCACATGGAACCCCCATGACCAACAGAAAATACCGTGTTATCTGGTGGTCTTTAACAACCTGACACCCCATTGTGATCCCACCAGTGGTCCCGACCCCCTGGTTGAGAAATGCTGCCTTAAGGCCATCCAGTCCAACTCCCTTCACAGGGGCAAGAAAACATAATCAAAGCCCTCCTGACAAAAACCCATCCAGCCATAGATCTAGATAGGAATATATGATTCACACACACACACACACACACACACACACACACATGTATATTACAGATACAGTATCATAGATTTGAAAGGGACCCCTAAAGAAGGACAATTATATGTTACATGTTCCAGAGTGGGCAAACCAGACAATCTCCACATCTACACTGACAAAGAAAAAACAAGAAATACTGTTTCCCAACGAGCATAAAGAAATTACATATATTGGAAACCAACACTTTATCATTACTTTATTTTCCAGATCACCAGACTGGGCCACAGCAACGTGTGGCAGGGGACGGCTAGTTTAGAATATGTTAGTTCAATGTCATTGACTTTATTCTGGTTTTAGTTCTTTATGCCATCTTTTCCACATTAATACATTTTTAGAAACATCTTTTAAAATATTTAACTTCTCTCTCGTTAAAGGAAAGGTGCTGAACTTATTAAAAAAAACAGGAAAGGAACTGCCTTGAGTATAATTTTGGGGAAATATATGGGCTATAAACTGAATAAACAAAAACACCAGGCATCAGAACCTGGCATATCCTTGCAGTTGTTGTAGCCATGTATCATGACTAAGTCACATCTTTTTAGTCACTTGTCTTTGCATTGCCAACTGCCCTCCACTCAACCAGCCTACAGACTCATGAAGTCAGATCAGATGCAAATCACATCATCCCTTCAGATGGACTTACGTAAGCACAACCACTAACATCAGACTGTTGCTAGGAAACCATGTTATGTACAGGCATGCCTCAGTTGAGAAAGCCTTTGATAAAGAACCTCCTTTTTACAGTTTTTTAAATGTTCACCCAACCCCCTTTCCTCCCTACCCTCAGTCTAGCTGAATGCTTATTAGCAGCATCAGCATTGGGAGGATGGTGGAGAGCCAGAGAGCTTTCAATGTCAGCTTGCAGTAGTGTATCTATAGCAAACAATGAAAAAAAGCTCAAGCCGGGGAAAAATATCCAGCCAATTCTGCTATAGCTGTGTGTGTCTGCCAAGGTAAACAGCAACTGTTTTCAGATTCCCTTACTGAAAATACATGAACAACAAAACTGAGAGAAGGGGGACACAAGATAAATCTGCCTCACAAGCTACCCACTGTATGCTTTTTAAAAAATGTAGATCTGTTATTTAGCCACAAAAATGGAAACCATTAAAAATGGAGGCATGTGAAAGAAAAATATATATTTCTGGGTGCATTTTGGAGGAAGCTTTTAGAATATGTTTTTGTGAAATTATGCAATTATTATGTCAAATTATTACCAGATTTTGATGTTTCTTTACATGTGGAACAGTTCTTTTTTGCGATGTAGGACAGCAGTTCCCCAACTGGGATCCACAGAATCCTAGGATTCTGTACAAGTATTGTAAGGGTCTCCACGAACAATATTTTAAATCTTTTTAAAAATCCGTCACAGAGCATGAATATTTTATTGAAATTCAGTGTTTCTCTGATTTCGAAATGGAATTTGAATCTGTGCCACTGACTGACTTTTTGGTAGAAGTGATAAACATATAGCTATCAGTAACCGGAAGACTGTGCTTCTTTCATGTCCACCTATAGATGTGAATCAGGCTTTTTAGTTTAAGCTTACATAAAAAAACTAATTTAGGAGTAAGCTGGATGCTGCTGTGGATTTTTGTATCCAGTTGTTGGACATTAAGCCCAATTTCAAAACTATTTTCAATATAATCATGGAACTATTACATTCATCACTTTAGGTACGAATTCAGTATTTTCCTCTAACAAAATAAAGAATAATTTGGAAATAAAGAGAATGTTTTCTCTTTATTTCCAAACCTACTACAAAATACAAAGCATTCAGGCAATAGGAATAGAGGAAAGAAGGAATAACTTTGTTGAATGTGTTGTCGAAGGCTTTCATTGCTGGAATCACTGGGTTGCTATGAGTTTTCTGGGCTATAAGGTCATGTTCCAGGAGCATTCTCTCCTGACATTTCACCCACATCTGTGGCAGGCATCCTCAGAGGTGAGGTCTGTTGGAAACGAGGAAAGTGGGGTTTATATATCTGTGGGAAAAAGAACTCTAGTCTATTTGAGGCAAGTGTGAATGTTGCAATTGGCCACCTTGACTAGCATTTAATGGCCTTGCAGCTGGGATCAACTAGTGTAGGAATCCATCCCTGTTGATTCCCTGTAATTCTGCCTCCGTACCAAAGTTAAACAAGTAACATCCAGAAATACAACTATTTTGTTAGCTGGCTTATACCTATATTTCACAACTCAACACTCAGCATCCAGCCATACAAGTTTTCTACTCAATAACACAAGCAATACCGGATAAGCCTGTGTAAGTGTTGGATGTGACTAGTGTAGCTGCATTATTGTGAAACAATCCAAATGGCAGTGGGTCATGGTTGCAATGCTGGGGAGGGGTCATGAGGAAACATGTGAGGAGTGGATGCTCTGAAAGGGATCAAATCATTGGAAATGACACCTTGAAAAGAAATAGAAGGAGTGCCCTGAACAGAATGAACAAAGAGTAAATCAAACTCAGAAAATGTATACTGCATTGACCTGGGCCACACGAATAAATTTGATGAATACTTCAGCCCGAAGCTGTGGTGTTGGTCTGTTAAGTACCATTAGTTGTACCCATTGGGAAACACCATTACAAAGAGCAATAGAGCGTTCCATTGTTGGATTGTCCTTTACACAGCCGTTCATGATGTAGTTCTGGTAATCTGAAAACTTCAACAAAAGAGAGGTTCATAGAAATGATTCACTTTAAGACAAATCTAAGAAAGATTTCTTTCTATGTTAAATGAAACATCCTAAATAACCTGCACTAAGCTTATTGGAATGAAAACAAATGAATGATACTCTGAATAATAATAATAATAATAATAATAATCTTTATTTGTACCCCATTTTCGCTGACATATAATGCAGTTTAAAACCACATTATTTGGTCAGTGCACATCCTTATAATGCAGTTTAACTGTAATGACTCCTCTGGACCTAAAACAGCTTGATAGGAGAACCAAAACATAAGAGACTTTGCAGCGGGGGGTGGGATAGAATTCAAGTGAAACATGGGGGAAGCCTGTGCAGTCTCCAAATCACCTCTGTTTTAATCAAAGAAACATGAAAAGCTATGACCCAAATATACATATACAGTAGTTCATTTTGCAGTAGTAGAAGGAAAACCTATCCAAAGCCTTCAGAAGGTTAGACAACATTTAACACAATTCTTGCCAATCCACTTCAACATTGCATACTTGAAAACCATATCTGTTAAAAGGAAAGCTTTTTTTTATAACCAATTCCTTCCAAGAAACATGCTTACTTCAATCTGCATTCCAATTTATTTTTATTTCATGTGATTTGATGCCTGTGCTTCGTTTCAGATGAAGCACAAGACGTGTTAATGCTAAATATTAGAGCAACGGCAATAACAATCTTTTCCCTTGTTTCTGTTGGGAATTAGTGGTTCCCAAGGTGTTAGCCCTTTTTTAAAGAAAAGTATGAAAACTATAAGTGTTTGGAATTAGCCTTCATTTAGCAAAGCACCAAACAAAGCATGCTTCAATTTCTCTGTGTTGCTTTCCTGAGTTCTATTGTTGACTCCAAAAGCAAACAAGATAAGCAGTTGTAAGTTGCAAACTTAACAGTTTGGCTTTGCATTTAAATATGCATGAGGAACCTACCTCCTAACTAACTAATGGGATACTCACTGCCATTCAATAGAAAAACAAAATTTGACTGGATATTAGAGGAGAAGCAAAGAGCAGAATCAGAAGGGGGGGGGGGGAGGGACTGAGAAGGGAGGAAGAGTTTTATATAATCGAAGGCCCCAAGGAAGAGACCAGGGTCACACGGTCTATTTACAAGATATTTAAAACCATGCATTGTAAAGGACAATAACAGCAAATCTGAGGGTTAGATGAGAGAAATAAACAGGAGGATCTGATATGCAGGAAATCCTATTCCATCTAAAAGACCTGTAAAGTAGGGGGAGAATACTGGCAATTTCTATCTGTTCCCAGAGATACAGAAATTAGATGACTTTATCAACTATATTTAACTATTTCATTAAACCTTCAAGAAGTCTCTCAAAATAGCTGATAGCTTCCACCATACTTTAAATACTGAATCTCCTATGTATATATTGTGTGACCAGAATCCCGTATGGGATTATGGATGCATAAGAACTGCAGTTACGATACTACATACTGAATCCCAACATCACCCCTATCCCCAAGAAGCAGTCACTGCAATTAACTGCGCTCCTATCACTCTGGAAGCAACTGGCTGCCATTTCCACCTCCTCTGGTGAGCAATCTCTGGTGCAACAGACAGAAATTTGCAACTCCCTCATACAAGGAATGTGTGGAGCCATCAAACAGCTGATTCCCAATTGACAAGGCAATGGACCCTTGTCAATTGCAGTGGCTGCTTCCTTGTAATTGTGGATTGGGAGACTTTCACAGACTCTACATAGCTCCTAAACTAGGGGCAACATAAGGATCGTAAATACAGAAGTTTCTCTATTCAGAACTGTCACAGAGAATTCTGGTCTTTTTTTTTTTTTACAAATTATTTGTGTAATTAACATAAACTCACTGATATTCTTCTGAAGGACTTGAATTCAAGGTAAGTGAGGTGGTCGGACAACTCCTCTGGTTCCAAGTGATCAAAGAGAAGGGACACTTTTCTTTTCTTACTGCTGTTGGATTTTATCCGCTGGGTAATCTTTCTAGACCAATCTCGAGCATTTCTTTAACAAAAAATATGGAGAGAAAGAATGAAAAGGAGACATGTACAATTTTATCTCCTCCAGCAAAATATATTTATATATTCCTTGAGATCTAACCCATATAACAGTTATAAGACACAGGAATTTATATTGGAGAGCAGTATGAACAAACTTCTCATAATTACTTTTTCTGCAGCTAAGGCCAACATTGTATTCTTACCTATAGTAAAACCCATATTTTCAGGACCAGTTTCATTTATTCACTTCTGAAAATATATGGCCTCTCTAATAATTTTCTAGGTTTTCCAGGATGGCTCTATGGTATTCTTGGGCTGGAATTCCTTAATTTCAATAGAGTCATTTATTATCCAAATGTACCCACACAAGACCAGAAATGCATTCCCTGTGAATATAGTGCTGATTTTTTTTTTTACCATCCTGCCTAATAAAGCATCTTTGCCTAATGCAATCTGCAAATATACTATTATAGATGAGACCTCTTTTTTTCTATGGAAATTAACATCTGTTAAAAACATTCCTGTAGGGGTTCTTTACTTAGATAAAAATCAGGCAATAAATCAAGCAAAATACATACAAAGAATAGTTACAATAATCAGATATCTCATTTGATTTCAATCTCTTGTTTTGATTTCAACTGAGTTCTCTTCACTTCTATTTTTAAAAGACTAAGGACATCAGGCTTGCCCCAACTCTGGCAGTCTTTAAGAGTTGGGGCAAGCCTTTAAGAGGAGCTTGAAGACATTGTTGTTCCAGTGTGCCTTCCCAGAATAATGATCCCATAGCACTTTGTCCTCCAAAGCACTTTATATTGTTTTAGGTCTGCTTGTATGTTTCCACAAACGCCCCATCACTTTTTTTCCCATGTCCAGCATTATTTTTAAAAATTTTAACTACATTCGGCCTACCCACAGATTTTAAAATGTGTTGTCCTACTGTTGATGCTTATGTTATGGTTTTACTGTTTTTGTTTATTGATTTTAATTGCTTGTATTGTTGTTGTTATTGCTTGTATTGTTGTATTATGGGCTCGGCCTCATGTAAGCCGCACCGAGTCCCTTGGGGAGATGGTAGCGGGGTATAAATAAAGATGATGATGATGATGATGATGATGATGATTATAATAGATGCATCGGCTTTATTCTGACAGATTAGTCTCTCACATATCTCTCTTAAATATGGAGTTAAGGCTTGGGAATCATATTGTTTTCCAAATGTTATATAAGGACAACTACCACAGTGTTTCGCTACTGGCCCTGCCAACTAAGGCTGATGGGAACTGCAGTCCAGCAGAATTTGAAAAAAAATCATACTTCCCATCCTGAGGCTTAAGGCTGTGTACAATTTTTTAAAGTACTAATATTGATTAATAAATGTGTAAATACAAAACATACATACATACATGCATACATACATACATACATATATATATATATATATATATATGATAACTTAAGTTATACTGAGGAAAAAAGGAGCTCAGCTGAGAGTGGAGGAGATCCCCTCAAGAGCTGGCTTTTATAAAAGAAGAAAACACTGAGACAAATTCTACATGACCGATAGGGTATTTCTATATCCATTTTCTCAGGGATTAGTCGCACTGAGTTTGACTATTTAGATACAGAATTTCAGAAGTTGTGCTACATGTATTTTGGCTCTCAATGTATACATACCACTGATAAATAAACCTCACAATTGTGGAGTCTACTTAAAAATAATAGTAATAATCCCAAAATTTACCAACCAGAACCTATAATTTAGAACACATTAATAAAATTAGGAAATGAAATGAAACAAAACTAAGGTACAAATCAACAGCAGTACTGACTTCCATCTGTACTTTAAATATTGATTCCAAGAATCAGGAATCTGGGAGGATAAACATGAGCTATCTAGTGCTGAAAAGACCATAAATGTCCAAGACTAGTGAGTCTCCTCCTTCAAACTTCCCTGGACAAGCCACAGATTTTAATGTACGCAGAGCTCAGCCCAAGTGTTTCTATCCTCACGGGAGTGGGGTGAACACATAACAGGAATAAAAAGAACATAACATCTCTTTCTGTACTTTTTCCAATTCTCAAAAAAAGAGTCTAAAAAAGAAAACAACTCTGCAATACTGTGATCTCAACAGATTAAAAACAACATACGTGTGTGTGTGTGTAGTTTAACAGAGAATTTAATTTCTACAGGGATGAATTTGATATGTCCCAAAACAGTACTTCATTATCAGAATATTTAATCCTAAAGCCACAAATAATATACTGAAATAATATGGCTAGTTTTTGACACTAAAAATAACAATATGTAGCTGACAGATGGTTATTTTGTCAGTACCAATTGTGTTTAAGTGCAGGCCAAGATCTTTAGGCACTGCACCCAGTGTGCCAACAGACACTGGGGCCACTTTTGCTGGCTTGTGCCAAAGTCTTTGCAATTGTTGTTGCTGCTGTTGTTGTTGTTATTCATTGATAGCTTCCTCAAATGAGAAGGTAACACGAATCTTTATGCTAAATATGTTTCTAAAATCATTTGTCTATAAGCAGTACAAGCAGCAGTGTAATCATAGAATCACAGAGTTGGAAGAGACCTCGTGAGCCATCCAGTCATGTTCAAAGCACCCCCCAACAGATAGCCATCCAGCATCTGTTTAAAAGCCTCCAAAGAAGGAGCCTCCACCACACTCTGAGGCAGAGAGTTCTACTGCTGAACAGCTCTCACAGCCAGGAAGTTCTTCCTAATGTTCAGGTGGAATCTCCTTTCCTGTAGTTTGAAGCCATTGCTTTGTGTTCTAGTCTCCAACAAGCTTGCTTCCTCCTCCCTATGACTTCCTCTCACATATTTATACATGGTTATCATGTCTCCTCTTAGCCTTCTCTTCTGCAGGCTAAACATGCCCAGCTCTTTGAGCCGCTCCTCATAGGGCTTGTTCTCCAGACCCTTGATCATTTTAGTCGCCCTCCTCTGGACACATTCCAGCTTCTCAATATTTCTCTTTAACTGTGGTGCCTAGAATTGGACACAGTATTCCAGGTGTGGTCTAACCAAAGCAGAATAGAGAGGGCGCATGACTTCTTTACTTTCTTTTCATAGAATCATAGAATCAAAGAGTTGGAAGAGACTTCATGGGCCATCCAGTCCAACCCCCTGCCAAGAAGCAGGAATATTGCATTCAAATCACCCCTGACAGATGGCCATCCAGCCTCTGCTTAAAAGCTTTTTAGACCAACTAAATGACCACAACTTCTACCTTGCATTTATACAAACTGCACCCTAAAAGGTTGTGCAATAAAAGTCAGAACTGTGCAACCCCATGAAGAAACACTTTGCTACAAAAATGGATTGTCCCTTTGACATGAGAGATATAAGCATTCTTATGTAACAACTTGTTCTTGAAAAAAGTTAAGAGCAATTCTATATAAGTTTCACAGGCCCATTTTTTCCTTACCAATATATTAAGATCTTGACACTCACATTTGAGATGTGTCAATTAGGCGGCTGTGTAACTCCTCACCATTAGCTCTCACCAGTTCCTGAAATTCCTCCATGGTGCTTGTAAGGCTGGAATCAGTTTTGAACATGATCCAAAATTCTCTTATCCAATATCTGTTGGTAACAAATTACGGCAACATCAGTTGTAACACTTGCATGTTGAACACACAATTGTTCATAAGCAGCCATAACCTATGGCACCTGGTATTCATTAGTACTTTCTCATCCAAGAACTAACCAGAGATGACCCTGCTAAGTTTCCAAGATCAGAAGAGACCTGGCATGTTTAGGTAGCCCCTTTGAAGAGAAAATTACTAAGAGTATGACTTATGCCTTTTAGAATTGTTCAGGCACAGAAAAAATATCAAAGAAGTAAGTGAAAGAATTAAGGGGCAATATGTATATACCAGAACTCTGCCAGTGTTGGTGCCATTAAGACCTCTGAGCAAAACAGAGACAGACCTCTCCCATATTGTCCAATAATGTATTGCCTGAAAAAGTGGGACACAAAGGAACGTTCCAAGAGATTTCAATCCTCAAGTAGGCACAGATTTTTAAAAAGACAACCCCTTCATTAATGAGATTCCCAGCATTTCGGGGTTATACATATGTGATATCACCTTAAATTTAGTCCAGAATTGTATTAGCAACCAGAGCAATTCCTTTTAAACTGATCCTGGTTCTGTATGGCATTTCAGGGTTTGCTGGAGTCCTAATCCGGAACAAGGCCTTTACATCTAGCATCCAAGCAACTGGCTATGTATTATTGCTTATGTCCAATTTGGCCCTCTTGGAATCTTGTAATACTTGAGTACATATGGTAGATAAATGCCATTGTAATGTATTCCGTTTAGAAAGTAAAACACAATGAACTAGGTCCCCATGTGTCATGTGTGAATGACAGGCATTTCTGTAAGGAAAAATTCTTGATCTTCTGATGGTTGCTTCCGAGTGTAGTCCCCACAAGCCATCTCAAATGCTGCTCCCAACTTTCAGAAGTTTGATTTTGTGCAATGAAGTGGACTACAGCACTGAGAGTGAATTTATGGAATTATGACATAGTTGTTAAGATTCTGGTCATTTCTTAAAATAACTCCACAAACAGTATGCATCTGTAGAGGCTGAAACACCTGACTGATGTCACAAATTCAAATTGCAGTTTTGACAGAAAGCCTCATTCTTGTAAAAATATATGGATCCCAGGCAGCAGTGCTAATCAAGACACCAATGATGCAATGCAGCCCTTTCCAATCTTCTAAACCAGTATGATTGACAATAATAAGAAGAGAAGAAGAACTTTATTTTTCTACCCCACCTCCATCTCCCCGAAGGGACTCAGGGCAGCTTACATGGGGCCAAGCCCAAGGCAACATACAGTTAAAAACAAAATAAAATATTAAAACAACATAAGAACAGCATCATCATAAACAATAATAAACAAGCATCATAAGCAACAACAGAGATACCTCTAGTCCCATGTTTGGAGGAGAGGGAACCAGTGCGGAAACAAGTTAGAGGATAGGCTGGTCAAAAAGGTGGCTAGAACGTATAGTAGAATAGGAATAAAGCAACTATAACAGGATCATTTCAGCTTAACTTAAAAGTGTAGTAATAAAAAATAGGAACTTGAATTCAGGTCATGGTTAGGGACCATCTGTCAAAGGAATCATCAATCGATTACACAGCGAAACATCCATGTCTTTAAAAAATACTTTTTGAAGTATTTTTGAAGTATTTAATAGTAGGTAAAAAAATTAAAAATTCCAAACAGGCCTGGTGATTTATTCCACTTTTGTTAACTAAAGCTGATGTGCTTATCCTCAAACTCCACCCCAAACCTGCCATTCACCCCACCCTTATTCCCCCACTTAAACCCCTTTCTGGAGTGGGTTACTGGATCTCACAGTGATTCCTTTAAATATAGATTTGTGTCTGTGTTGATATGCAGGTCCTTATGTTTTTGTTATCCATAGCCTGACTTCAATTCAGGCTTGGATAACAGCCATAAAAAAGGTTTTAAACAACAAGAACAGATTCACTGAAAATAATAGAAAAATATACTAAACTCTAATAATCTAACTGCAGTTTATGCAGCATTTATAATCACACATGAAATGGGAAAGTGAGGAGATACATTTCCCAAGTAAAACCTAAGCCGAAAGGTTCTTCTACAGGGAATAGTCCTTCTACAATAGTTCTTCTATAGGGAAAAGTTCTAGATAGCAACGCATGTCTGGATCTACCACAACTAATGAGCAGTAACTGCAGAATAAGCATCTATTGACTGTCCTAAACATAATCATACAAAAGAACTCCAGCATACACTGACATTTTTAGTTGCTTCATAATACTTGATCAATAAGAATAATTTAAAAATAATGTGCTGTATTTCTTCTTCTTCTTCTTCTTCTTCTTATTATTATTATTATTATTATTATTATTATTTAGTTCACTTGTATACCGCTTTTCTCCCCCAGTGGGGGACTCAAAGCAGTTTCCAACATAATTATGGCAAAATTTAATGCCTCACATACAGAAACCTAACAACAATAACATACAACATACTGTACTTAAAAGTGCTCATGTAAGAGAAAGAAGAGTGCTTACCTTACAAGGCAACATATCTTATAGCAAAGCAAAGAAGAATTATCTTCCAGAGCATCCAAATATGTAATTAACTGCTAAGGAAAGATTGTCAAAGCCCCAAAATTAAGTTTATTAAACCTTACCTTTCAAAAGAAAAACTATACCGGTTGATAGACTGGTTAAACGAGACCAGAATATTATGGTATAATAATCAAAATATACTTTTGAAACAACACAGTGACCAACACTGCTACGAATAAAAGATAATATGTAGAATCTACATTGTAGACAAACAGCCATCCTTTCCTCTACAGACCCTCTTAATTATAATTATCTCACACTTAACAGAACTTGATATTCTAATTATATATTAATTTGGCCAAATGCAGAACTAGTAACTGTTTCAGGTTTTTTAAAACTGCAAAGATCAAGAAGATACATTTGCTAGGGAAAATTTTTAGAAAATTGAGTTATAAGCTACCTTATCACAAGAACAGAAAAAGGTCAGGGAAAAACATTAGCTCTTGTTTACTGTACATGTGACTAATAAGAAAGAAATCATACTACTTGATCGGAACATCTCCCAAATGTTTTTGTATCTTATATGCTCTAAAAACATTTTGTGCAAAACAGTTGGATCTAGTTACATTGACGCGTAATACAGCCAAGGTTAATCATAATCATATAATATAACTACTTTCCACAGAAATCAACAAGATCTGAAAATGCTCAGTTTCGCTGATCATACCCAGAGGGCTACCCGTAAAAATTAGCTTTGTATCTAGGGAGTTGCGGTGGCACAATGGGTTAAACCCTTGTGCTGGCTGAACTGCTGAACTAAGGACCTGAAGGTCAGCTGTTTGAATCCGCGAGTCGGGGTGAGCTCCTGTCTGTCAGCCCCAGCTTCCCATGAGAAAAGCCTCCCACAGGATGGTAACATATCCGGGTGTTCCCTGGGCAACGTCCTTGCAGACGGCCAATTCTCTCACACCAGAAGCGACTTGCAGTATTCTCAATTAGTTTCTGATGCGATTAAAAAAAACTTTGTATCAAAAAGATGGTGATCAAATAAAGTCAAATCTAACCATTTTGTTTTCAACCAAAGCAAGTGAGAAGAGATACTGATATAAAACAAACTGAAACAAATAAAAAATATTTGCATGGGAGTGCAGGAACTAAAACAAACCTTAGTTATGATACAATTTGTAGCTTGCTTTTTTACCACTGCATCAAAACACAAGCACAGGATGTATAGAAAAAAATAACCTTTTAAATTTGGAATTAAATAGCCTGTAATACACAAAAAGTCTCAATAAAGGATATCCGCATATATCATATGCTTTTCTAAAAATCTTTATTAAAATTATTTGGGAAAAAATGTTTAGCTCTATGATTTAATCTAGCACCTCACAAACTCTTAAGTAAGCATTCAAAATCCTCTGAAATTTTAATTTTGCTTTACACAAGCCACAACAACTCATCAATCATCTGAAAGATTTCAGTTTAATTACTAGTTAAATTAATGAATATCAGACAAAAATTACATATTTGAACTAAAACCAAGATAACTTCAAAGATCCAATATATTCCATCAGAAATATCAGACAACTGTCCTGCTAGGTGACATCCATTCCTAAAAAGATTTGGCCAATGGCAAATATCACTGACACCCTTCCATTATTGTAACCTCTGTATTGGTAACTAATGCATACACCGCAAATGTTTAAAAGGATATAGATCTATTAGCTTTTGTAGCACTTCAGTTGATGATATAATTAGTTGATGCATGGTCAACGTTACCTTCAATAGCTGATCATTTCTACACAGGTTTCCTTCTGAATCTGAAAATATGAAGAAACATGGTGTTACTAGAAGCATTAGAAGAAGTTTCTTGGATACACGCCATACAGGTTTCCTGTTTCCAATCTCACCTACTCAGAATGGCTCACTAAGCAAGAAGATGTATGAACATTGCAAAGGAAATCCTAAGGACAGAAGCATATCTTTCTCAATAGATATTATGTACTACAAAATACCAGGTTTTGGCCAGGAAGCAGCTGAGAGAGTTGGGGGGATTTCCTAAAGAGAGATTTCTGGCAGGTTGTATAGCACCTAAACCAAATGGGGGACAGAAATTTCCAATTACACATGACACTTCTAGGACTATGTAAAGGAGAATAACTGGGTGAGAAATTGCTTGGGCTGTTAAAAGGTCAAAAAGAGAACTTCATAGGTGAATTTGAGAAGGAGCACTCTCCAAACACACTGAAGGATATCTTGCCAAAGGGAAGAATGGAGGGAGGCATAAGGAGAAGTTCATCATCATGTTACTCTGACTAAAGATTTAGGTCTCAAAAGGGTGCCAAAACAGTAAAAGAAAAATATTTCATTCATGATTTTGACTTTTTATAATTGGTTAAAGTTTTATTCCTTAAATTTCCTACTCACACTCTGATCACCAGACTATAGCAGTAATTGTGGGATTTTAAAAAACACTTTTAAAGCCAAATGAACGAAGCAAGCATAACTCATCTTCTCTCACAGAATATTTAAGAAAATTTTTACACCCAATACGAGACAATGCTACTAAAACAAGGCAACAGTAAACAGAAAGTAGTAATTGTAACAACTATACAAGTTTTAGTGAATAGCTGATTTGGTCTTCATAAAGACAGTACCACAGACATGGCATTCAGGCAGAGAAACTAACATGTAGATCAATTTCTAGGTAAAACATGATATATTCTTATTTACTGGCCACAGATTACAAGGTGGATTTAATCCACCAATTGGGTTTTTATTTTTATTTTAATCGCCGTTGTCATGTGTGTTTTATTGATTTGTTTTCATGTTTTGTTACAATAATTGTCATTTTAATTATCTGAATTTAATTTATTGCGTATCTGTATTTTCACTGTGTATTGTATGGCATCAAATGACTGCCATTTATGTTGTAAACTGCCCCGAGTCCCCAAAAGGACATGGGACGGGGTATAAATACAATTGACTTGACTTGGTATTGTGATACAGCCACTTGGCAGCACAGGGCCAGTACCCAATTCATAGCCTGATTGTTGGGCCTGGAGAATGGGGCACGTATACACTGCCCTGACAACCTTGAAAGGACATATATGATACAATACTACATTTTAATGGAATTAGCATGGGCATATTCTCACTTAGCAAAGCACACACACACACATTCTGTTAGAATCACAGACACCTTAAAGGGCCAGACTCAAAAGTGCCTTCAAAACAGAGTTTATTAAAACAAAAGAAAAAGGACGCAGAGGTACTTAAATGCAGTTCCACTGGTCAAAACTCAAGAAACAACTAGACCTGGTCCAAAAAGGATAACAGAAATATAATCCAGATTAACTGGATGCAAAAGGAACGAATCAAACAAAGTGCTCTGAGGCAAAACAAAAAGGCACAGTACACAAATGGTTAACAAAAGGAGGGGCCGCAGGAAGAGAAGCGTAGTCAACTGAAGTCCAGGGTTGAAGTGGGAGAAACAGCGCCGCTCCAGTGTCCTCAGAAGCAGCGTCTTTAGCCAAACCGGTCCAGGAAGGGAGAAGTACACATTCATGAGAAGCTAATCCGGATCAATAACACGCAAATGATCAGGAGATCCAAACTACAGATCCTAAACCAACGCCGAACACGAAACAGGCAGCAACAAGTCTACAAGAATATTTTCCAATATACAGCACCCAACACACGAATGCTCACCAACACCTTGCCTTCTGCAAGGACCCATCACTCCTGAACCCATTTTTATTTACAAATCATCATCAGAAGATGAACTGACCACCGCCCCATCATTATCCCCCGCAGCTGCTTCCAGCTCTTCACATGAATTCCCTTGTCCTTCCCTCCAATTCCTCCATCTCATGTCAAGACTTAGGTCCCCCCAAGACTCCGTTGGATCTCCTGATTGCCAGTCTTCACCCCCAGAGAACCCCATAAAGGTATCACTAGTTGTTGGCTCCTCACAAATAGCTTGCACTTCTCTTATCTTAGTCCAATCCATGGTGTCTCCTTCTTCTCCTTCACTCATTGACCCATCATCCCCAGAGAATCCCTCAAACGACTCCTCATCTGTAGGTGATGTAAATATGTCCTGGATCCTCCTTCTCTGCTGCTCATAATCAGATTCCTGCTCCCGAGTAACCCTTTTTCCCTTTCTGGCACCCATACTACTGTTTGTAACGTTACTCACAGGCTCTACTACAACACATTCAACCAATACAACTCTGACAATCGCTAAAACACTGTCAAACATCACAGTGCTACTGGAATTTGGTGCACCATTGTGAGATAGATTTGGTAGGCATCTTGGATCACTTATACCCAGAGATGAACAGGGAGGGTGACCCTACTTATTTTGTTTGATTGCTGAGCAACATCTGTACCATTAGCCAATCTTCTGAGCATTATGATGGAGGACATGGAACAATGCGGTCTAATATTTCTTAGAATTTTGTGGATTTGACCTATTAAGTAGTGATAGAAAAATGCTCCAACATCACATTACTTTTGGACTGATGAGTACCACTGTATTCAACCCTGGCCTCGAATTTTACCATTTATATGAAACTACCAAATGAATTGATCCAGAGTCTTGGTAGGAGGTGCTACAAATATAATGAAGCTCAGATTCATCTTTTTTTAGCACATGGGCTTAGGAAGATAAAGTGATATTCCAATGTGTTTAAAGATCTTTATAAAGATAAAGCAGGAGTTCTTTTGGTTAAGAATTCAACTATTTGAAGAAAGTATACCATGTGTTTTAGTTAAAGGTGAATTCCCACTGAATGACTAATTTGGAGCTGTTTTGTTTCTCTACTCCAGGGAATTCAGGAAGTCATGAAGGTCCAGTGTGTCTTTTCCCCATATTCAGCAGAATTATTAGATTCGACCTTTACTGAAAAAGGCAGACCTTATCTCACTTATACATATACTAGCTATATTTAGGCTAAACTACAGCAACACATTCTATGGCTTTAAAGCTAATATGGGAAACTGAGTTGGAGTAACCAGATGAAGTAATCAGACTATCTCCTATTCTTAAAGATTCTCTAGTCTTTTTTCCAGTTTCATAGAACACCTATTAGAGTACTGATGTTTTCAGTCTTTATTGCACTAAATAAACTGATGGTGGGTTGTCTCAGGACTCAATCCCTTAAAAGGACATCTACTCTTCATTTGAAATCAGTGCCACAAATCAAATCAAAACCATGCAACTGGGATTCCACTGAAAAGCTCAAATTTCTGTCAGGCTCATAGGAGAAGGCTGAGGTGAGATCTTTCAAATATGCTGGCCCTGGAGCTCAGAAGCACACTGGAAGCCAGTTTATTATTTGTTTACTATACTTGCATACCGCCCCTCTCAGCCCGGAGGCAATTCAAGTTAACTATTATGTGGTCTCTGAAATGCTCATCTAATACCAATCTGGCTGCTGCTTTTTGTTCTACATGTAGTTTTCCAAGGTTTTTTAAGGACAGCCCCACGTAGAACACACTGCAATAGTCAAAATAGGAAGTAACTAAAGAATGAACCACTGTGGTTAGGTCTGCCTTCCTCAAGAAAAGTTGCAGCTAGCTCCTGGCCACTGCAGAGCACTTCCAAACCAAAGCCTGATTTTTTTTTTCAGAGGTAGAGTAACCCTATCCAGAAGAAGTTGTCATCCCAATCCCAAATTGGTTTTCCTATTGACAAGAAGGACTTCCATTTTTTTCTGGATTAAGCCTCAGTCTATAACCTGCATCCAACCCTTTACATTTATTTAGGCACATCCTAAGATTCTTTCCACTATAGTGAAATGTGAACTGTTTACATGACTACAGAGAAATTGCCATTATGCTACCCAAAACACCAAAACAGTGCCAATCTTGTCTGATTCCTGAAGTTAACTAGTACTTTGCACTGGACAAGCACTTGGATTGGAGATGATCAGAAAACACAATGAATCTCCAAACAGAACTAAAAAATAATGTTGCCTGGAACCTGAAGAGCTACTGCCAGCCAGAACTGGTAATACTGGGCTACATGAATTGGTTCAAGAAAGCTACTTCTGTTTGGAATAGGAATTTGTTTTAAGTACTGTTTATAAGTACTAAATGCTAAATACATTTCAGTGACTTGCAGTTCACCAAGTAGAAGCAGTCCATAACCTCTTCACTTTAGAGTAAAAAAGGTAAAGGTTTTTCCCTGATATTAAGTCTAGTCGTGTCTGACTCTGGGGGTTGGTGCTCATCTCCATTTCTAAGCCGAAGAGTCGGCGTTGTCTGTAGACACATCCGAAGTCATGTGGCCGGCATGACTGCATGGAGCGCCGTTACCTTCCAGCTGGATCGGTACCTATTGATCTACTCACATTTGCATGCTAGGTTGGCAGAAGCTGGGGCTAACAGCGGGAGCTCATGTGGCCCCCCGAATTCAAGCCTGCAACCTTTCGGTTAGCAAGTTCAGCAGCTCAGCACCACTGCGCCACCGGGGGCTCCCACTTTACAGTAGTCTGATCAATTATACAATGTTCAACATTTGAAAAATTCATATGCAAAAGTTATACACATGGCATCCATGCCAGCATTAACACACAAAAGAAAATGTTCCTTTCCTTTTAAGTCAGCCTCCACAGGGTAGAATGTTTTAATACACACTTGAAGCTTCTTTAATTTATCTTATAACAACTGAAAGCTTTGCAAGATTCATTGTCATTTCCGCTTGCATACCTGTCAGTGAAACCACACAGCCAACCAAGCAGCAACCCACTGAGTGAATATTCAAAGGAGCATGTAAGAACTTCCAGATTTCACATTTAGAATCTGCAATTTA